CCACTAAATATTAAAATAAATGGAAGTTCCTTGCCATTTCAGAATATCAGAGTGACATTTTAGGTGCTTGGAGAACTTCAGAAATAAGACAGTCACGTTCCATGATTTTTTTGCAAAGTCATTTGGCACAGCAAGCCACAAAAGCAGGAGCAGTTCAAGCTCTCCAAAACATTTAATACTTGTCTAGCATGTATCCAAAGAGAACTCTACCACTGAAGCAACAAATGGATTGCATTTGCAAGAGACCCCAGATTTCCTCTTTCTGGGAGTAGGGACAAAATGAAGGTGCCTTACTAAGGCCCTCGCTCCCCACAACAGTCTGACCTCCAAACTGTTGCCCCGCAAGTGCAAGACTTCTTGAAGGCTCTGGCATTTATTTATATGACAGCACATTGCCTCTGGATCACAGCAGATCAAACTGTCTCTTCTAGCAACAACAGCAGTCTGCATGAGTAGTTTGTCTCTGTTCTGACCCTTATCTTCTCAGTTTAGATCTCATCTCCTTTACATTTACTCAGGTAGCTCCTTCCTCTGTGTTGTCTAGATAACAGGCAGGGAAAAAGTTAGGGATAAAGACAAACAGAAAAGATTTGTTTGAATGTCATACTTCTAGTCCCAACAGAAAAATGTTCCTAAAGAGTTAAATGTCTCCAGGCAAGGGAGACAAGCAAGTAAAAGTTGTATCTTCTATCACAGTACACATGGAGTAGGTGGGGGAACTATAACCAACAGGTTTATTTCAGTAGGGCTAAGTAAAACACCTTTTTTTTTTTTTTAAATTAGCTATTATCTCTATTGTAAGACCCTTTTTTCTGCTGCTTATACATTTGACAAACACTGACTTATCAGATGGGTCCATTCTACACCAGTTCTCTGCCTAAAGCTGATTTTTTAAAGAAATGCAGCAGTTTCCTAGAACTGGGCAGATGTATGTCTTGCATGCAAGCCACAGAAATCTTTTCTTCTCTGAAGTTTCAGTACTGCATGGAAAAATTACATAGAGCAGCAGGGCAGGAGAGCTATAACTGGACCAAGATATCCAGGAGATTACAAATGAGCAGCCCAGGGCAGCAGGAATAAGATCAAGAACTAAGTGGGGGAAGGACCAGGGCGGCGGGGGGGGAAGCATGTATGAGAAATCAGAAGATGTCAAGTTGGAAAAGGAGCCTCTGCCCAGGAGAACAAGCTCCCTTTCTGATCTGGAACAGAATCCAGGCATCCGGACTCCTAGTATCCCCCTATTGTCAGCAGTTAACCACGAAGCCCACTGACCAGCTGTGCTCCTCTCACACTCCTGATCAGCCAGGAAGAGGATGACAACCAACTGCTGCCCCTTACTTCACTGCTCAAGTCAAAGGCACCTGTACAGACTACTACTGCATTACCCCTGCGTACACCAGTTTGATTTCTGCTTTCTGTGACAGCTCTCTAAAAAGATCTTGCAAACTTTTATAGGCCCACTCACACATAACACTGTGAAGAATATTGTTCAGGCTGCAACAAAAGTGAGTAGTTCAAAATAGAGAAAAACCTGAAATAAAAACCAACTGGGTGATGGAAAACCTTATGGCTTATGCACATGTGTCACGCCACGTAGCCTTTGATTCCTCACGCACCATCTCCCAACACTCCTGTCTTGTTCAACATACAGCATAAACAGTGGTCAAGTAGCGAGCAACTGGACACAAATTTTGTTTTCTTTGCAGTTCAGTGCCTGATTGTACTTACTAGACACACCAGACTTATTGTGGAAAATAAAATCTTCCCTTTTTCAATAGCTAGAGGAACTTCAAGTTTATAAACTACATATATTGACCAGAGGCTGATAGCAACATGCTTGTCTCTGGGATTCATTTAAGTATTGCAGCACCTGTCAGCTCCTCAGCAGCTGGGCTTCAGCGCTGAACTCTGCACAAAGCATTACCCAAGGAGATGGGCGATAGAGAAGCCACTCGGATTTCACAGACCAGCCTATAGTTAGCAACTGAACCATAAAGATTAAGCCTTGCGTGTCCTTCAGTTCTTTGTGAGTTTTTTGAAATGTGAGCGGGAAGCACAGTACGGCTACCATATTCTGAGGTGATCTGTGCTGGTAGAATCAAACACCAATCTCATACACAAAAAGTAAAAACGCAGCTACCGCAGCTGTATCGAGCAATGTGCAGTAGTGATTGCTGTCTTCAGGGGTTCAGGAAAGAGCTTAAAATGATTTATGATGTCTCATTTTCAAAAAAACCCAAGAATCACAGTAAAAGCAGGAATGCATTTAAATCCCAGGAGCGATCAAGAACATTTAATCCTCCCTCGGGTTTCACTTGTGTATGGTTCAGCCACCAAATATCTGAACCACTCTTGGGGAAAAAAAAGTCAAAATTATATTATTACAGCTGTCCCCATAAAATACTATACACGCACAAAGTCATTTTATAGGGACAGCTGTAATAATATACTGTACTTGCAGAAAACCTTGAACATGAAGTTGTGCTACAGTGTTTGCTTGATTTTTACTTTCTTATATTTTATTTTTGTAAGTGTTCTTCCATTTGTTGTACAAGTAAACTGATGATAAAGCAATATCAAACCAAAACTGACTATCTATTTTGGCATGGCATGAAAAACTGCAGTGCTCTCCTCACTGTGTCTAGCACAAGTGCCAGGCATTTTTCTTCTGTAAATAAGGATCTTGTCCAGGTTATGAGTTAAAAGAATGTAAAGGGAAAGGCCTGAAATATTCAGACAGAATTCTGAAGCTTAAACTTTCAGCATAGTTCTCAAAGCAATATGATGATATCAGTTCACAAATAGCTTAAGCAGAAGTCCAGCACAGTGGTAGTTGTCTCAGGCTACGTAACAGGCCTTTCAAAAGAGTATGAAGTAACAGAATTGAAATGTATTTGGCAAGATGCCACCACTCAGATGATATCCCAGCCTCATGGATATGTACAGTACACAGCAACTCATCATCTCATACTATGTGGCACTGACATTCCTTGTGTCAAACCAAAAATAGCTATAGCAAAAGTAAATTGAGCCCCACATGTGGAGGCCAGTAAGGCCTCCGCATGTTATACACACTACAATGTTAAAAAAAAAAAAAGACCAAGCTGAAGAGCGACAGATGGACTTTCACATTCGCCAGTGGTGCAGGGAAAGCCTCTCAGAAAGGAAGGAGGCTCAAGATAGGGGTTCAGAGAACAAAAACCGCATAACTGCTTTCCAAGTAGTGCAGAAGCAAGTACTGAACTAGGCAGACTTCTTTCCAGGATGCAGCACATCACCACAGTCTCTTCTTCTTTTTTTTTTTAAATATTGTAGTGTGTATAACATGCGGAGCAGGATTACTTTATGATAAAGACCAATACACTCACATTTTTAAGGTATCTTGAGGGAATTCTCCATATAGGAGAAGTATTCTGTACTTCCGGATTTCAAAAAAAAAGCTTTAAAAATTTGTTGACTCCAGAATTATCTTCTACTCTTCGTCTGTCTGCTCTGTCACAAAACCAAACGGGAAAAACCCTTAGAGTCACCTCATGAGTACTCCAAACAGGAGTGTTTGCTACGCCTACAGCCTGCCCAGGTAAAATCAGTTGCCTCTTGCAAGGGACCAAAATCTACCTCCCTTCAAGGTACCAGTCACTAGCATCCCCACACAAACCCAACATTTAAGTCACCTACATGAAAAAGTTTATGTACTGGGAGCCAAGAAGGGGACTCTGTCAAGCTGAACACCTCCATTAGCCTGGGTACAACTTCATGTGAAAACTCACAGCAAAGGGCAAACTACACGCCATTCCTGGCTTCCCAGTCCTGCCACCTCCCTACAACTCGATCTGGAGATTGCATGGTCTGACGGATCAGGGCACTTGTAGTCTGACCTGGCTCACCGCTCGGCCCTGTGATCATCCACTTCAACACGAAGAAGGTGGGGTAAACACAGGGTGGGGAAGAGGTCGATACAATCACCCCTTTTGGCAGCAGTCAGAGCAGATCCAGTGTTTCGCAAAACCACATCCCGAGCTCAGCAGTCATCACTGTTACCCAACTCACAAGAGACACAAGAGAAAAATCATAGTACTCTCAAATCAGAAACACAGAAATCTAGTGTAATATTTATCAAGTAAGCACATGTTTCAGATTTGAAATCACTTTGTATGGTCTTCTATCAGAGGCTGCTGAGGTCAAACAGCAGTGCATTGTGGAAGTTAATCAAAACACGTTACTTCTGGTTTAAGGTGTTTCTTTTGACAGCCATCCAACACATGGAAGCACATCTTTATGAGTGCACTGGGACGACCCATATGAGCTTTATGCTCACTTCCAAGGGTTTAAAAAATCCAGGCAACACCCGTTAGATCCATTCCCTGGCATGATACTGCAAAGGGCATAACTGTAGAACATTTGTGTAAGCAAAGCCCTGAGCATGTGAACTGTGCAGAGGGGTTTTTCAAGGAGTCTGATGTAAACTGCATTGGAAATGACTGAAGCTGGACAGATTTGTGAGAGCCTCCTCACCAATGCTGTTTGTCATTAGAATGCTGCTCTGCTAGTCTAGATTACAAACTTCCCAGAGGTGCCAGATGAGACCATCACAGCCAGGAGCAGAGTCAGCAAGCAGAACCACACAAAGCCAATAACATTCATAACAGTCCTCCAAGGCAGCCAGTAGCTAACCCCAAGAGATAAAACCCAGTAAGACTCGCTGCATTCCCAGTCAGATTGCTGGCAGTAAAAATGAAAGACGTTGAGAAAAATGAAACAGATGAACATACTGAGAGAAAGCTGGCCATGTTCCTTGTAAAGGGAAGAGCCTCCTGCCCAGGGCAGCAGTCTAGAGGCCTCTTACAGATGAAGGCTGGGGGGTCTCCCCGTGCACAGGGCCGCAATCACTACCCTGCTCCGCTACAGACGCCAGGTACGCCCAAGCAGGGAGCCAGCCAGCCGCTCTCGGCACAGCAAGGAAGCCCCCGCCATCCGCCACAGGCCGGGCAGGTACTCACATCCTCCCCACACCCTCGTACATGCGGGTCTCGTCCACCAGCATCATGACCTCCGTGTCGGTGAGGTGGGCGTGCTTCTTCGTCTTGCTCAGCTGCTCGATCTGGATGTCGGCCAGCTTCACCTTCTGCTGCGTGTCTATCACCTTGGCCTGCAGTTCGGTGAAGGCCTGGGGGGGGAGAGCAGCGGCGATGAGGGGCGGCCCTCACAGGCCACGGCCCGCCGGCCCCGCACCGCCGAG